GGGACACACAATGGGAGCACCGAGACCTTTGCCATGGCAGTGGCAGGCCGTTTCTTGGACAAGATGTGTTCAAATAGACCATGGCCCATGCTAGAGGCAGGCACAACCCCCACGGTCCTTGCACCTGGGAGGTCTCTCAATACCTCCGGGGCCACCAGCACCCCATCTCCCACCTCTCCAATGTCCAGGGCTTAAAGCTGAGAGGGGCAAGCTCTTCCTTGCTCCTTCAGGTGACCAGCAGAAGCCCTGAAGCCTGAGGCTACGACCCACCAGTCTCCTCTCACAAAGCAGGTTCTCCATTCCTTCAGCCGCCCCGGCAGCCCTGCTCTTCACCCGACACATTTTCAGCTCATCTCTTTTGGGCCAGTACGGCGCATGCTATGACACGGTGAGGGATCGGTCCCCGATCCTCATCCACAGCTGAGCAATCTCACGTTTCAGCTCCTTCAGTACTCTCGTGCGAACGCCATCTGGTCCTAGAGATTCGTTGCACTCAAGTTATTTGAGCTGTTCCATAATCTCTTCCTCGGAGACTTCTTGCTCTGTTAATGCCGTACCGTGATTTCCTGTAAAGAATGCTCTGGGGATAGGAATTTCCTCATCATCTGCTTTAGCAAAGACTGCTGCAAGGAATTCATTTAGCTTTCCTCCAACAGCATCATAGATTCATAGATTCATAGATGTTAGGGTCGGAAGGGACCTCAATAGATCATCGAGTCCGACTCCCTGCATCCTCATCCCCCCTCGGTGGTCTAGAGGCCTTACGGACACACAAGTGCTCACCCTCTGCTTGGTGCCCGTCCAGCAGTTTGTTCTCCCGGTCCAAGGAAACCTGGCACCGCGTGAACGGATTCTGACACTGCCGGTCACTTCCAACAGAGCAAAAAGAGTCTCTCTCACAAATCAATCAGGAACATTCATTCAGAGGCATATTCTTATGCATTTCTTAGGCAAAACCTTTTTAACTTCTGCAGCCCAGAACCAAGCGCCAAGCCTATGTGTAGCTGCATCATCTTGAAGACTTCAGCAGCAGCTAAAGTAGTTCCTTAATGCCAAGAAGAGCCTTCAATATCTTAATGACAACCGCTCCGAGACTTGGCACAGACGGGTCTCCGAGAAGCCCTGATCCCTCACTTTTATTGCTTCTGTGCGTTAAACAGATGCTTCTTGTGAAGCGAGGGCTCCTGTTTAATTACATTAATGTAATTTACTCCATCACACATAGCAGAATTGCTGCTTCATCAAAACAGGTGCTGACTCACTTCCACAGGAACAGCTCCTTGTCTGGAGATGCCAAACCCTCAGCTGTCATTTTTGCAGCAAATAATCCATCACCGGGGATTCTGGCAACAAAAGGGGCATGCAGGCAATGGCCAGACAGATGGAAAAAGGGAAAAGGGTGCTTAATAGGCTTTACCCCAAGCAAATACCTGAGCCAGTGCTTAGCCTCCCATGCCAAGCAATACTTCTTTATATTGCCATTACGGATTTCAGAACGAGAGGCTTCCTCCCTCAACCGTCGTTTCTTTGGCCGTGAATTCTCTAGAAGGTATTGATTTCACTTCCAGGGATTCTTGCCGTACAAGCGTGGCTCCCTCCCCGCACACGGGAACACCCCTGGCACGTGGCCTTTGAGTGGCCCCCAACAGAGATCGAAATATTCAGGTCCCCTAACCAGCAAAAGGTGGTGCGAACACCTAGGCACAGTCGCCTGGTAGGCAAACGTTCCTACCAGTGGAAAAATACCACTAGAAAAAGCACCACGTCCGCACTCGGGGCTCGTGCCAAGGCTGCTCTGTTTGGCAGGGGGCACGGGCCTTCGTGCGCCTGACCGCCAGAGCTACAGCACAGCGTGAGTCCGCTGTGCAGGACAAGAAACCCCCACAGATGGACTGTACGGGGTGGTTTAGACAGGGACCACGGATGCTTATCCCATTACCCGGATTAGGTTTTGTGACCCCTTTGCTCCTGTGGGTTTACTGCCTGTTTGTTTGCTTCCCCCACCACTGCTCCACTTCCCCCGGCTTTGTCTTTGGTATTGCAATTTCTCTCTCCTTATACGCTGCTCTGGGCACGTCCTTTCGCCGCATTGGATGAAGCGAGCTGCAGCCCACGAGAGCTTGTGCCATGGATCTTGCGTCTAGATAGAGAGATCTAGCCACAGACATTGGTGCGTCTCCATGGGGAAACCGGGGGCAAATCTACACACGTCGGTTTGTTTCCATGGGGCAAACCAGGGGCAAATCTACATACATTGGTTCGTCTCCATGGGGCAAATTGGGGGCAAATCTATGCACATCAGTTCGTTTCCATGGGGCAAACCGGGGGCAAATCTACGCGCATCGGTTCGTCTCCATGGGGCAAAATGGGGGCAAATCTACACACGTTGGTTCGTCTCCATGGGGCAAACCGGGGGCAAATCTACAGGTGTCAGTTTGTTTCCATGGGGCAAATTGGGGGCAAATCTGTACACATCAGTTTGTCTCCATGGGGCAAACCAGGGGCAAATCTACAGGTGTCAGTTTGTTTCCATGGGGCAAATTGGGGGTAAATCTACGTGCATCAGTTCGTCTCCATGGGGCAAAATGGGGTCAAATCTACAGGTGTCAGTTTGTTTCCATGGGGCAAATTGGGGGTAAATCTATGTGCATCGGTTCGTCTCCATGGGGCAAACCAGGGGCAAACCTACAGGTGTCAGTTTGTTTCCGTGGGGCAAATTGGGGGTAAATCTATGTGCATCGGTTCGTCTCCATGGGGCAAACCAGGGGCAAACCTACAGGTGTCAGTTTGTTTCCGTGGGGCAAATTGGGGGTAAATCTATGTGCATCGGTTCGTCTCCATGGGGCAAACCAGGGGCAAATCTACACACGTCGGTTTGTTTCCATGGGGCAAATTGGGGGCAAGTCTGTGCACATCAGTTTGTTTCCCTGGGGCAAACCTACAGAGGTGGGTTCACCTCCATGAGGCAAACCTCCTCGGCCCCTGCTTGAGCGAAGCCTGGCGCGGCGGACTCCGTCTCGGCGCAGACGTACCTCCGAGCAGCGCCCGGGTCTGGGACCACGGGGAGCCCTTCCGCGATCCCGCGAGGGCCGGACGGCGGGAGGACGCGGGCCGTGACAGCGGCGCGTGTGGGGGGTCCAGAGACAGCGTCGCGTGTGGGGGATCCAGACCCTGCCCACGGGCGCGGGGTCACGGGTGGCTCCACGGCAGTCCCCCCGTGCACCCGGCATCCCTGGGTGGCCGCCACGTCGCGCCCCGTCCACCGCCCACGGGCGCAGCTCCGCCACGGGGCCTCACTGCTGCGGGGGGGCAGAAGAGGGGATTTACAGGCCCACGCGGGAAGTGGGAGGGAGGGGGTCTAGCAACACCCCCACGTGGCACCCCACGCAGGACCAGGACAGCCCCACGTGGCACCTGGGGGGTGGTAAGTGCGCCCCCACGTGGGACACAGGGGGCAGGTGGCACCTGGTGGGGGCGGACCTCCCCAGCGCCGGCCCTGGGGCGCGGGGCCGCGTTTCCGGGCGGACGCACTTCCGGGCGGACGGGCGGCGCGCATCTCCGGGCGGGCG